TCTCTCTCTCTCTCTCTCTCTCTCTCTCTCTCTCTCTCTCTCTCTCGCTCTTCCTGTCTGTCCTTTTATCCATGCATTCGACTGTCCGTCCACCGGTGCATCGATCCAATCTTTCCAAGCTGTCCAATGCATGCAATCCCTGCCAGTGAAAGGGCGACTCCCGTGAAAAGCACTGTTGATAAGCATGGTGCTGCCTTCTAAACGCCTTGATGTTGTGAGGCACTGCATCCTGATGGGCAGCAGCAGCTCTGTCCCATTACAAGTTGAATGGATGTAAAAAATCAATAAATTTATTAAATTTATTAAATTATGTTATACTTTATAAACTGAATAATGAAAACAAACTCTCAAGTATAGCTATGAACACACTTATCCGAATTGCAGACCCACCTACCGATCAAAAGGATCTCCATCGACTCATTACCGATGAGCCATTATAACTTTTTTTTTCTAATTTCCCCTTCAGAAACTTACGAATCTCTCATCACCGAGCTCGTTAACACTAATTCACCTCTATGCTGGCTGATGAGGTAATAACCAACCACTCACCGCACACATCCTCCTCATTTCCCTGCTCTGGCCTCTCATTGACACCCAGATCATCGTTTCTACTTCACCTCGATGCTGGCTCTGAGGTAATACCCAGCCACTCACCACACACATCCTGCTCATTTCCCGGACCCGGTGCGCAGCTGAGTTCCTGTCTCTTATACACATCTAGATGTGTATAAGAGACAGCAGGCGGGACACAGCAGCTGCTGCATCCCCGGTCCTGCTAAACGGACAACCCATAATACCCCGCCCCTCCCCTCCTCTGCCCCTCCTCTCCCTGCCCCTGTCTGTGATCCATATTTCTACAGAGGGCTTCCTCTCATGTTTTTTTTGTCCGGAGAACACAATAAGCACAAGTGATGGTGATGAGCTGGGCATGGTGCAGCATAATTCTTCTCAAGGAGATGGACGGTCAGAACGGCATCATGAAGTGCAAGGGACTGATCGTGGTGGACAGGTGGTGGTGAACATTTCTGTTTTTGTTATGGGATGTGGAAGCTGCGTGCTGGACTGGTGTTATTCTTGGAAGGTTAGTTGTCAAGGCTGAATTGCTGTTGAAAAACTCAAATGTTTTTGCAGGTGGTCTTTTTGGCGTGGAGGTTATGAGAAAGAGTGTGGGTGTGCATGTGCCGGGGGGAGGAGGGTATGTGTGTGTGTGTGTGTGTGTGTGTGTG